AATAAAGCTCAGGGCCAGTGCTCAAGCCCTGAGTTCAAGCTCTAGGACCTGTGTGTGCGCACGCACGCGCATACACACACACACCCCAGACATAAATCATGTCAAGTTCTTCCCTGTCACACCTGTACTCTCTGCCTTCCTCTCCCCACCATGACATGAGGGGCCGGACTTCCAGGAAGAGGGTCTCAGCTCATTCTTATCCTCCTTTTGTCTCAGTCTCATTATCACACATAGCATGGAGCAGGGAGCGTGGAGATCACTCTGGTCCTCCCCGCCCCACCCCCCCCGCCCCCGTGTGTCTGCACTCTGAGCCTCACCATGATGGGGGCTGGCTGCTGGGTCCCCTGTCCCCAGAGGGAGCTGGTGGCCCAGAGGCTCATGGCTGTCCTTGGAGTTGAAGGAGGGGAAACCTGGATGATGATCTGTGGCCCCGGGTGGCAGGGAGGGACCCAGGCACCCACACCCCAAAACATGTCCACTTCAGAGGTGCTTCCGGCCCTGCACAAGTGGTGGTCAAGTCCTCACACACAACATGTGCTGCCCGGCTGGTCAGAGTTCATACTTGCTGAAGGCCACCAGAAAAATCAAACCAGGTAGTTTGGGCAGAAAGCACTCACTTTCCCAGCCAACCAGAGGCTGGCAGCAAGCCACCAGTCAGGACAAACCCTGGTGACATTCATAAGTCACTGGCAATATGCATCTGTTTCTCTCAGGACAAACCCTGGTGACATTCATAAGTCACTGGCAATATGCATCTGTTTCTCTCACTAGAATGATTACTGTCTAAGGTATGAGGTGTCCACCTGCTTTGTTTGCAGTAGAACCTCCAGTAGGGCTTGGCTCATGGTAGATGCTCAGTAAATGTTGAATGAATGAATGAATGAATGAGTAGTGGGTGAGTGGCTTAAGGAGTGAGTGAATGGATGAATAGATGAACACATGAAGCTGAGCACCGGTGGTTCACACCTGTCATCCTAGCTACTCAGGACGCTGAGATCTGAGGATCACGGTTCAAAGCCAGACCAGGCAGGAAAGTCTGTGAGACTCTTACCTCCAACGAATCACCAGAAAACCAGAAGTGGTGCTGTGGCTCAAGTGGTGGAGCTCCTAGCCTTCAGCTAAAGAGCTGAGGGACAGTGCCCAGGCCCAGAGTTCAAGCCTGTGACTGACCAACCCCCTTCCCCCAACCAAAAAGCACATGAATGAGTGAGTGCATAAAGGAAGGAGAGTGATAAGTGGGTGACGGGTCCTGGGGCTGGAGCTCAGAGCCTGAGCTTTTGTGTGCTTGAGTTTTTTGCTCAAGGTTAGCACTCTTCCACTTGAGATCCACTTCTATTGTTTTTTTTTTTTTTGCTGGTTAGTTGGAGATAAGAGTTTCACAGACTTTCCGGCTCACGATGGTTTCAAACCACTTCAAACCACAATCCCCAGATCTCAGTCTCCCGAGTAGCTAGGATTCCGTACATGAGCCACCCATCCCCAGCCCTTGCTCTCTCTTCTGTCCTTCTCCTTGCCTCTACATCCCTCTGAGATAGTGAAGATAGCAGGTTGCTGGGCATGACTGGGTGTGACACTGGATTCTAATTTTAGCCTACTGTGTGACTTGGTGAGGACAATCATGTCCCTTTAGAGTGAAGATTAAATGAATCACAATGTAAAGCACCTTATACCTTGCAATCAGAAAGCCTGAGCTGGAGAGGCCTTGGGGTCAGTTCCAGATGCCAACCCAGGTGGGAACAAGGTCCTAGGTCAGGGAAGTTTTTGATGGCTTCCTGCCAAGGTCAGGTTGAACCTTGTTGAACCCTCCCCCGCTAGGTCAGAAGAGTATGAGCAGAGATAGGATGTCCATCTTTGACTTTTAGACCCATGTGAAACATAGACAAGTCCCACCCTCACACCTGGAGGCTGACTGAGCTGCTCCTTCCGTCGGGAGGGCAAAGTGGTTTGCTTCAATTGGCTCTGAAGGAGGCAGGTGGACAGAGGTTCCACGTACTGGGCAGATGTGGGGGCAGAGCCTAGAGGCTAGAGGAGGAAGGAGAAACAGAAGAAGAAGAGAAAGAAGCAGGGAAAGCGGAAGGAGAGAGACAGAGAGAGAAGGAGGAGGAGGACAGGGGCATCTTGGGGGAGGAGCATGAATGGCGGTTTGAAACCGTTAGTGAGGGAGGGGCACAGCCTATCTGGGGATATATAGGTGGCGTGCTTGGAGGCCCGGGGGGAGTAGGAGAAAAACTGGAGTCCTGAGAGGAGAGGAATCCAGAGGAGACCAGGAGTCCTGAGGGAGGAGAGTCAGGGAAAGACCGCAAGGCCTGAGGCAGAGTTAGTGCGGCGAGAGGAGAGGAGTAGGAGTAGAAGGAGAGGCGGCAGGAGGGGAAAGCCTGCTGGAGCAGAGCAGGGCAGGTCCGTGGAGGACAGGGCAAGCCGGTCCGTGGAGGACAGGGCAAGCCTGGAGAGGCCATTTGGGGCTTCTAGAGGAAGCCATTTGGGGTCTCCTTGAGGGGCCATTTGGGGCCTCCTTCAGAGGTCATTTGGGGCCTTCCTCTAGAGAGGCCTGTGGAGAGGCCTGCAGAGGCGGAGGAAGGGAAGAAAGGGAAAAGCTTTGCCTTTTGGAGCTCTGGAGGGCTGAGGTTTGCAGACCAATTAATAAAGGTCAGGGGGTCAGGCTGCCTATTGGAGGCTTGGAGGTTTGGTGGTTGAGGCTGCTCTTGGTTCTGGGTATCTTTCCCAGGACGAGGTAGTCTCAAGACCCTTTTCTGGTGTAAATAGTGTACATAAACTTCTTTGTCTACTTTTCACTGTCTGTGCCTGGATGGATTTTCTTGCTCTCCAGAGGTCATAAGAGATTGGAGAGAGATGGGGGAGAGAGAGTGAGAGAGAGAAACACACAGATTAAGATATGCAGTGAAAGCATATGGCAATCAGAATCCTAAAGTTTCTTCAGAAATCTTTTTTTTTGTCAGTCATGGGACTTGAACTTGGAGCTTGGGCACTATCCCTTAGCTCTTTTATGCTCAAGGCTAATATTAGCTCAGTCACTTTGAACCACAGTGCCACTTCTAGTTTTCTGATAGTTCATTGGAAATTAGAATCGCATAGACTTTCCTGTTCAGACTGGCTTTGAACCTCGATCCTCAGATCTCAGCCTCCTGAGTAGCTAGTGAGCCACCAGCACTGGGCTCTCAGCATCATTTTAATTAAATTGAAAAAATTCTAGCCAGGGACCCGTGGCTCATACCTGTCATCCTAGCAACTCAGGAGGCTGAGATCTGAGGATCATGGTTCAAAGCCAGCCTGGGCAGGAGAGTCCATGAGACTCTTAGCTCCAATAAATTTCCAGAAAACTAGAAATGGTGCTGTGGCTCAAGTGGTAGAGCACTAGCCTTGTGCTAAAGAGCTGAGGGACAGCACCCAGGCCCAGAGTTCAAGCCCCACGATGGACCAAAAAATAAAATTTCAATGGTATGGGTCCAGTCACCTTGGCCATGTTTCACAGCCGAGTCTGGCCAGGGGCTTCCATGTCAAACCTTGTGGCATTAAGCCACTCTGTAATGACACCTGGACTCCGCTGCCCTCCATCTGGAAAACGGAGGGGATGACAAACTCTCTTCCAGAATAAGAGTCTTCAGAGAGGTACTGTGTTAAGCACTTCATACTCTTCCTGCCACAAAGCCTGGGGCCCATGTTCACTGCCATATCACCCAGCATAGCCGGGAGCAAGGTCCTGAGGTCAGGAAAGTCCTCCAAAGTTATATAAGGTCATATCTCACCCTTACGTGGACGGCTGCTTGTTATTTGCTTTTCTCGAGGATCACTGGGCCACAACTCAGCTGTCCCTGATTTTGCTGAACACTGCAAGAAGATTCTGTGTCTACTCTCCACCCCCACCCCTCACCACATTCCCACTGTTTTTAGTGTGCTGGTCCTGGGGCTTGAACTCAGGGCCTGGGTGCTGCTCCTGAGCTCTTTCACTCAAGGCTAGAGTTCTACTATTTGAGCCACAGCTCCACGTGTGGCTTTTTGGTGGTTCATTGGGGATAAGGGTCTCATGGAGTTTTCCTTGTCCAGGCTGGCTTTGAACCCTGATCCTCAGATCTCAGCCGCCTGAGCACTAAGATTTACAGGCGTGAGCACCAATGGCTGTCTAGCACTGGGGTTTCAAATTCAAGACCTCATATGTTTGCTGGGCCAGTGCTCTGCCCTGGGAGCCACTGTCAGGTTGTTGTGAGATAGGAGTGTCGCTGTGTGCCTCAGCGAGCCTGGGCTGTGATCCTCCTGTTTGTGATTCCATCCCCAGTCCTGACTGTCCAAGGGAACAAAGTGAGATCTCTAAAACGTGCTGGGGACCCGAGGCTCTGCCCCGGGGAATGGATGAATGGCATTGTTGTGGGAGTGGGCTGGCACACTTTCCCCTCCTCTCCCCATTGCTTGCTCTTCTGCAGTGCTGGGAGAAAAGCCCTCGGCAGGCTCCAGGGGCCAGGTGCACTTCCATCCACTGTGAACTCAGCCTTGGCTGCACCTGCCAAACATCAAATGAGGCACAACATGGTCCTTGTACTTCTGGAGTCTGGGGTCTCTCTCTCTCTCTCTCTCACACACACACACACAGACACAGACCCAGACACACAGACACACACACCTGGATCCCACACAAATGACCATCTCTACAAGCTCAACCAAGGGAAACACATTTTTGTCATGGTAAAGCAGATGCCTGTACTACAGGAGCTCCAACCCAGGCTTGGACACACACACACACACTCCCCCATTCACACAAACACACATGTGCACACACACTCACTCACACTCGTGCACCTCTGCCAAATGGTTTCTAGGGCTGAGGGGGGAGCAGAGTGGCCAGGCTGGCTGGGCAGGAAGCAGAGGAGCCTGCACCCCTCCCCTGAGCTGGCACTTGGGGACAAGGGGGGGGAGGGAAAAGGCGGGAAGGGGAGGCGTGGCCAACTGGGTGAGGAGACTTGATCAGAATAAAAGGGCAAGTTCAAGGCTGGGCTGAAGTGGACGCCACCCAGCCCAGGATCATGGAGCTCAGCGTCCTCCTGTCCCTGGTGCTCCTCACTGGCCTCCTCCTCCTCCTGCTCAGGGCTGGCTCAAAGGCCCGTGGCCACCTCCCTCCAGGGCCCCGGCCTCTGCCCTTGTTGGGGAATGTTCTGCAAATGGATAGACACGGGCTCCTGAAATCTTTCCTGCAGGTGAGACAGGGCTGGACGGAGCCTGGGATATAGGTGGTGGGGAGGGTCCTCTGCCTGGACAGGAAGGGAAGTGGGGATCAGACAGCAGAGAGAGTGAGGACCCCTCTCCAGAAGCAGGGGTTGGGCGGGGCGGGGGGGGGAAGAGTGAGGAGTCCAAGGCAGGATCCTGAAGCATGATGGATGGTGGTTAGGTTGTCAGAAGCAATCTTGCTCTGTTGGAAAGTTCTGGGGGGCTACTGTTCCCAGACAGGGTGTCGGGGTGTCAACTTGTACTCTCCTCTGTCACCCTCTGCCATGCCCTTGGGTACATGTCCTGAAAAGAGAGGTGGGGGGAAAGAGAGAGAGAGCGACAAAGAAACAGGGTGGAAGTAACAGCGGACTCGGTTTTGTTGTGATCAACAAGGGTGAGCAAAGTCTGGCAGGAGTTGGTGTCAGGGCTAAAGGGAGGTCAGTGGAGGGCGGGGGAAGGGGCGGGTCTACTGCCTGTCCAAATTAACCTGATGAGCTGATGAGCGGGGCCAGCACAGAACAGAGCCCAGAAGAGCCATTCCATTCCATTGTATTCTTTTTGTAGAGCGCATGCCAGGCAAGTGCTCTACTCCTGAGATTTGGAGTTATATCTTTATTTGATTTATTTATACTTTTAAGGAAACAGGGTTAGCCTTGAGCTCCCATTGCTCCTGTTTTGGCCTCCTGAGCGCTGGGATTACAGGAGTGTGTCACCAGGCTTGGCTCCTCCAGTGTTTTAAACATGTAGTTTTGTGCTTATCAGAGAGGCCAAGAGAACAAACACCCTGCTACTAGAACATGAAGATGCAGAGGGTTTCTGAAAGCTAGGTGTCGGTCATCCTAGCTACTCAGGAGGCTGAGATTTACAGGATCACAGTTCAAAGCCAGTCTGGCCAGGAAAGTCCACGAGATGGTGGACCACCAGAAAACCAGAAGCGGTGCTGCGGCTCAAATTGGTAGAGCACTAGCCATGAGCAAAAGAACTGATGGACAGCGCCCTGGCCCCAAGTTCGAGCCCTATGACTGATTAAAAAAAAGAGAGAGATGGAACTTGAACAGAGCCTCGAAAACTGGATGAGGGGGCGAGGATGATCCCGAAGAAGAAGCCATTCTGGAGGAGCTGATCCCGAGAAGGCTGAGGTGCATGGAAGAGTGGGTTTCTGTCCACCCATGGTGATGAGGCAGCCATTCAATGGTGATGGTAGAGCAAGAACTTGGCCTAGCCAATGCCAAAGGTCATGGAAGCAGCAGAGTGGCCTCAGAGGGTGGGCAAGACGGTGTCTCGCAGGTGTCTTTGGTTCCTGTTGATATCACAAAACGCTCGAGGCTGAGAACTTGGCAAAGTCAAGAGGTTTATAACTAACAATGGCTTTTGCCAGATGATCGTTCCAAGCTCAGGCTGGCTTTGAACCTCCATCCTCCAGATCTCAGTCTCCTGAGTAGCTGGGATGACAGACGTGAGCTGCCGGCACCCAGCGAACACTCTGGACTTTCAGATATTTGTGTTGATGCTGGAATGAGTCAGGCTCGTGGGAGGGCAGGAATGTATCTTCCATGTAGCAAGGACATGGATTTTGGGTTTCTGGGGGTGGAATAAGATGATCAGAACAGCTGCATGTTTTCCTGTGGAGGCATAAAAGCAACACAGCAACAAAACCCCAATGGTATCAACAACACAACCCATGAATCATATGAATTGAACTTGATAAGCAAAACGAGTTTTGCACATCGTGGCCATGTAGAGAAGGTGGGCATTCTCCTAAAATTGACACACAGTGGTTGAAATGTTGGGGAAAACCAGTCGAATGCCAGTGGCTCACGCCTGTCATCCCACTACTCAGGAGGCTGAGATCTAGAGGATCGCAGTTCAAAGCCAACGCAGGCAGGAATGACTGTGAGACTCTCAGTCTCATCTCCAACAAACTACCAAAAAGCTGGAAGTGGAGCTGTGGCTCAAGTGGTAGAGCACCAGCCTGGAGGATAAAAGTTCAGGGACAGTGTCCCTACCCTGAGTTCAAGCCCCAGGTCTGGGACACACACACACACACACACACACACACACACACACACACACACACACACACACAGAATTGGTGAAAATCCAGATGCAGAGCGCCACCCAGTGTTTGAGCTGCAGAAGTGACTACAGGCACCAGGAACCGAAGGCCTAACACAAAACTACACTGGGAAAAGTAAAGGTCCAACCAGGAATTAGTTTCTTGAGTTAGCTTCTTGGGATTACAGATATGTGCTACCACAACTGTCTTATTGCTATGATTATTTGAGTCAAGCCTGAAGTTGACCATAACCCTGAAGAGTGCACAGCTTGATGAGATTGTAACCGAACACAAAGACCAAGTAAGACCAGAGCCCGCTCCGGGATCACCTGCCACCTCCCACATTCTAGTCATTATCCTGCTGCGGGGCATTGGTTGCACCTGGGTGGGAACTTCCTGTAAATAGCACCAAAAGACAAACCAAATCTGGCTTTTGTGTCTCTCTGCTTTCACCCCACATTCTCTCTTCGAGTTTCGTCCCTGTTGTCAGGGATAGCGGTAGACTGATCCTTTTCATGGCTGTGTAGCATTCCACCAGAGGGATCAATCACTGCCTATCTTATAGTTACTTACATCTTACATTTATTTTTTATATTTATTATTTGGTGGTACTAGAGTTTGACACTCAAGAGCCTCAGCCGGGTGCTGGTGGCTCACGCCTGTAATCCTAGCTACTCAGGAGGCTGAGATCTGAGGATCATGGTTCAAAGCCAGCCTGGGCAGAAAAGTCTATGAGACTCTTATCTCCAATAAACCACTAGAAAACTGGAAGTGGCGTTGTGGCTCAATTGGTAGAGCGCTTGCCTTGAGCTGAAGAGCTGAGGGACAGCGCCCAGGCCCAGAGTTCAAGCTCCATGACTGACCAAAAAAAAAAAAAAAAAAGAAAGAAAGAAAAAGAAGGAAAAAGGAAAAATGAAACTCAAGAGCCTAATGCTTTTCTGTGCAGGAAACTCTACCACTTGGGCCTCACCTCTAGCCCTTTCTTGCTTTAGTTATTATCACTACTTTTTCTCTGTTGTCAGACATGGGCCTGAACTCAGGGCCCGGGCTGTGTCCCTAAGCGTTTGTGCTCAAAGCTAGCACTCTACTACTTTGAGCCACAGCTCCATTTCTGGTTTTCTGGTGGTTCATTAGAGCTAAGAGTCTCATGGACTTTTCCTGGTAGACTGGCTTTGAACCTCAGATCTCAGCCTCCTGAGTAGCTGGGATTACAGGCCTGAGCCATCAGCCAGGGGGCCGGCTGCATCTAATGGAGCTGCATCTCATAAGGAGCTAGCAGCAACTCTTGCCTTGGCAGCTTCGAGAACGGTATGGGGATGTGTTCACCGTGTATCTGGGATCAAGGCCGGTGGTCATGCTGTGTGGGACGGACACCATCCGGGAGGCCCTGGTGGACCAGGCTGAGGCCTTCTCTGGCCGAGGGACTGTTGCCACTGTGGAGCCAATCTTCCAGGGCTATGGTGATGGCCTGCAGGATGGAGGGAGAAGGGGGGAAGGGGGAGAGGAGGGCCTGGTCTCCTTTGATCTTCCTCCTGTAACTTCTGCCTCCATGACCCCATGCTCCCTCCCCCTTCTCCCTGCCTGGGCAGGTGTGGTATTTGCCAACGGGGAGCGCTGGAAGGCCCTTCGGCGGTTCTCTCTGGCCACCATGAGGGATTTTGGGATGGGGAAGCGGAGCGTGGAGGAGCGGATCCAGGAGGAGGCGCAGTGTTTGGTGGAGCAGCTGCGGAAAACCAATGGTGAGGCCCAGGCTCAGGGAGGAGGGGGATGGGCTGGGGGGGGAGCAATTGAGAGACAGAGCTGTCCATGTGAGCAGAGAGCTAAGGATGAAGACGGGAGTGAGAGACAGACACCCAGGGAAAGAGGCATGATTATTGATAATTATGTTCAAGAATAACTCAAGAGCTGGGCACCAGTGGCTCATGCCCTATCACCCAGGTTCAAAGCCAGACCTAGCAGGAAAGTCTGTAAGACTCTTATCTCCAACGAACCACCAGAAAACCAGAAGCGGCCCTGTGGCTCAAGTGGTAGAGCACTAGCTTACGCAAGAAAGCTCAAGCACAGTGTCCAGGCCTGAGTTCCAGCCCTGTGACAGACAAAAAAGCAGGGATGAAGGTATAGTTCAGGTGATAGAGCTCCAGCTGTGAGCAAGAAAGCCAAGGGGTGGTGAGAGTCCTTGAGTTCAAGCCTAGTACTGACACACGCACACACACACACACACACACACACACACACACACACACACACACACACACACACAGAACCACAGACAGAGACACAAGGAAGGAGAGACAGAGATTTTTTTTGCCAGTTGTGAGGCTTGATCTCTGGGCCTTGGCGCTGCCACTCAGCTCTTCAGATCAGGATGAGCGCTCCACCACTTGAGCCACAGCACCACTTTGGTTTTCTGGTGGTTTATTGGAGATAAGAGTCTCATGGACTTTCCTGCCCAGGCTGGCTTTGAACTGCAATCCTCAGATCTCAGCTTCCTGAGTAGCTAGGATTACAGGCATGAGTCACCAGCACCTGGCAGATTCTTTTAGTTGTTCAGTACTGAGCAATGCAGGACAGTGAAAGAAAAAGGGGGAAACGGATCCCCAGTCTCCTGTGCCCCTTCTCCTCCTCCCAGGGGAACTTGTGGACCCCACCTTCATCTTCCAGTCCATCACGGCCAACATCATCTGTTCCATTGTCTTTGGAGAACGATTTGACTACAAAGATCGCAACTTCCTGCATCTCCTGGACATGTTCTATCAGAGCTTTGCGCTCATCAGCTCCTTCTACAGCCAGGTGTGGAGGGGAGGGGAGAGAAGGGGGTAGAGGGGCCCGCACAGGGTGGAAGGGAAAAGGAGGATGTGTTTTGGAGGCTCAAAAGGAATGGAAGAGGGGCAGAAACCACAGGGGGAGACAGGGAGGCTGAGATCTGGATTTAGGGAGAGATGATGAACAGAGAGAGAGAGAGAGAGAGAGAGAGAGAGAGAGAGAGAGAGGTAAAGAAAGAAAGGAAAGGAGGAAGGAAGGAAGAGAGAGAAAGAAATGAAGAAAGAAAGAAAGAAAAGGAGGGAAAGAGGGAGGAAGGAAGGAAGGAAAAGGAAGGGGAAGGAAGGAAGGAGGGAGAAAAGGAAGGAAAGAAGAAAGGAGGAAAAGAAGGAAGAAAAAAATGAAGAAAGGAAAGAAAGAAGAAAGTGAGGGAGGGAGGATGGAAGGAAAAGAACAAAGGAAAGGAAGGTAGAAAGGAAGGAATGGAGGGTGGGAGGAAGGAAAGAAGGAAGAAAGAAAAAGAGGGAGAAAAGAAGGAAGGAAGAAAGGCAGGGAGAAGGAAGGAAGAAGGGAAGATGGAAAGGAAGGAAAGAAGGAAGGGAGGCAGAGAGGAAAGAAGAAGGGAGGAAAGAAAAGAAGGAAAGGAGGTAGGAAGGAAGGAAGGGAGGAAGGTGGAAAAGAAGGAAGAAAAGAAGGAAGGTGGAAAGGAAGGAAGAAAGGAAGGAAGGAAGGAAAAAAAGAGAAAGGAAGAAAGGAAGGTGGAAAGAAAAGAAGAGATATGAGATAGGAAGAGTTAAGAATAAGAAGACAAGACAGAATAGAGGTAACTTGTGCAAGACAATGTGGAAGTGTGTGTGTGTGTGTGTGTGTGTGTGTGTGTGAGAGAGAGAGAGAGAAAGGGAGGGAAGGGGGGAGAGAGGGTTCCACATGAAGCGCCCCTCCCTGACCCTGCCCTGGATCTTCTGGCCCCTGCATCCGGCAGGTGTTTGAGCTTTTCTCCAGTGTCATGAAGCACTTCCCTGGGAAGCACAGAGAGATCTACAAAAACCTGCAGGAGGTCAAAGCGTTCATTGCCCAGCGTGTGGAATGGCACCGGGCAACCCTGGACCCCAGCATGCCGAGAGACTTCATCGACACCTACCTCCTGCGCATGGACAAAGTAGGCGCCACGGGAAAAGGGTGGCAGCTAGAGAGGAAAGGAAATGGAGGAGAGGAAGAGCAGAGAGTGGAGAGGACAGAGATAGGATGATAAGGAAGGGACAGAAGGATCAATCCAGACATCCATTATCCACCCATCCACCCATCCATCCACCAAGGCCTCCACCCACTATCTATCATCCATCTACCCAACACCCATC